ACACTTAAGCATAAGCTCAACAACTCATGGCTGAGCTTCCCTGACTTGCACTGGCCTCCTGTCACAGAGCTTCACAGCCTCTTTCAGATTAAATAAAGGTGGCGGCGTCTCGCCCACCAGTGACAGCTGAGGGAAACAGCACTGACAGCCTTCCACAGGCTTGGAGGTGGACGCGGTCCAAACAGTAGCAGGAATACGGCCACAACCGTTATGATGTACAGTCCAAATTTCATGTGTTTGATCTCTCATAGAAGCATGTTTGTCCTACAGCAGCCACCGTAGTTAGAGCTACGCACTTAAAGTGTGAGGGGTAAGAAACTGCTGACAGCTAGTGATGATATTTTACACACTGTAACTAGGGATGCACCGATACCAATTTTTACAAACCAATATGATACCGATACTTGGATCGGAGTACTTGCCGATACAGAGTACAAAAACCGATACTTCTACCACACACACACAAATGCAATGAATTGAAAGACAGGTTTTATTTCATTCTCTGCCGATAAAAAATAAAATCTTAATAAAAATGACCACAAAAAAATTTCAAGTGAAAAATAAGCACTTCTGTTAAATCATTGCAGAGTCTCCACATTGTAATTTAACAAAATATCACTGAACTATTGGCACTGTCTCGACCTTTCAGAATAATAAATAAACACTTCTGTTTGTAATAAAATAAATACAAATTAGGTTTGAGAATGAAATAAACTTTTAAATTGTTGCAGAGTGTCCATAATGTAAACAAACAAACAAAATAATGAAAGTATTTGGCATTGATGAACTCCTCATCTGCCCGTGGATCATCAGTCCACTGTGCCGTTAAACTGAGGACTGACATCGCGCACACACTGCTGTCTTTACCTCTTCAGAAAGTTTTGGCACCATTATCTCCCTGATGTATGGGCGGCTGGGAATTTCATATCGCAGCTCGAGTGTGCTGAGAAGACGATGCAATCCTATGTTTTCCACGGCCGGCAGTGGCTGGTCATCCAGAGCGATAAAATGAGTCAGAGCCTCCGTTATTTTACCTGCCCGTGGATTTTCTCTTGACATTTTTCATTGCTTTTCCAAAACCTGAGTTAAAGTTGGCTGTTCCGGTCCACACTGCTGACATTTTGTTTAGCCTAGCTACAGCAGCCTCCAGTTTCTCTTTTTTTATCTGAAGCCGCCAGTCTCACTCGCCTAACCCTGTGCCTGTTTAGCGCGAGATGTCCCCCTAGTGGCCAATCTAAAAAACTACAACAGAAATGACATGCCACCCTCTGATTAATGAAATAAGTTCGTATCGGTTCATGGTATCGGTTAACTTTTGCGAGTATGAGTACACACACATTTTACAGTATCAGCCCCGATACCCGATACCAGTATCGGTATCGGTGCATCCCTAACTGTAACGTTTAAAAATTCAAAGAGTGAAAACAGTGAAATCAGCTGAGCTCCTCTGCTGCCTCCTACAGGTAGAAACAATGAGTGACATGATGCAGGACCGAGTGGTTCTTAGTGACCTGGACCCGCTGAGCGAATACTGCGTCCAGGTCCAAATCATCACCAACATGAACCCCAGACCGGGCGAGTACAGCGACGTCGTCTGTGAGCGCACCGGTGACGGTAGGCACCGCCGTCAGACAGCCGTCACAATCGCTCAAGGTGTCGCTGATGGGCTCACCTGCTGCTGTGTGGTTTTCTTACAGTGGATGCAACTCTGTGGGTGGCGGCCGTGGTGACGTTTGTGGTCATGGCCACGGTGGTGGCTCTGGTGGTGACTCTGGTGGTCTACTGGAAACAAATCTCCAAGTTCCTGTGCCCAGAAGTCGTGCTGCCGCCACACTTTAAAGAGGTGTGTGTGTGTGTGTGTGTGTGTGTGTGTGTGTGTGTGTGTGTGTGTGTGTGTGTTCTTTAATCTAACACTGACCTTTCTGCCCCGCCCCCTCAGTCTCTGCTGCTGAATGATCCCAACTCCATCTACCCAGTCTCGCTGCCCTCTGAGCACTGCGACCACGTCAGCATCGTAGCAGACCACAGGACTGAGGAGGAGGAGGAAGGAGGGTGCAGCACTCAGCCTGATACCTCACAGGATGGGGGCTAGGAGGAGCAGGAGGAGGTGGGATGCACTTTAAAGACTCTGAGAATCGGCCTCTGACTGTGAGGTTTTAGAGCTGTGAACTCTGAAGCAGTGAAGTGATGAAGACGAGCAAGAACAGGTGAAGCTGGCCCAGGTGAAGCTGTTCCCACTGTCACAGGCCACTGTTTATACTTTAATAGTTTATTCATGTCAATGTAAATGTTTTGCTTTCTACTGGTTTTTTAATGGTTTTAATGGTCGGAGGTTAACCGAAGCCTCTGCTGCTCCTGCTCGTAGGAACCAGGTGACCCGATGCTGGGCTGTACTGAGACAGTCTGGGTCTTTTACTGCTCTCAGTCTTCGTAGCCCAGTTTAATTACGTGTTCAGTAACTGGATTACAACATAACTACATGTGAAGGTGTAGCCCTGCAGGCTGTGTGTTTGGGTGTAGCAATAACTGATGTGGGGATGAGGTTGGCTTGGGTTTGCCACCAGCTGCTGTGAGACCTCGCCGTCCTCTGCTGTTTCCAGCGGGTTCACCTTGGATCTCCATCAGGCAGGATTCGGGCCGTCCAGCAGAACTTATGATGAAGAAGTGTGAACACTGTAAATACTCGGATTTATTTCTAATAAAAGTCTTTGTGACGGATGAAATGCTTCTGATTGTTCTTCGCTACAGAAACACGTGAAACATCGTTTTAAATCGGACTCAAACTTGGCTGCTGGTGTTCCAGATCAAGTGGCGCTGGTCAAACAGATGTGTGGTAGACTTGCTTTTCAGGACTCCATTTGAGTGCTCACAAAGTAAACTGCACGCTTTAGTTGTGAAGCGAAAACGCTGAAATCGCAGTAATAACACGTGCGAGGGGAACGATAACAACGACAAGATTCTCCAGATCGTTTGCTCTGTCCTGTGAACAGCATCGGCGTGGTGTCAGTTGTTTGGTGTTTCTGCGATCGTGCGAGAGAACATCACCAGGTAAACTTTTTAAAGATTTTATTGTTCAGCAGCAACAAGACTGACGGAGTGTGTTTGAGGGAAGCTCACAAATGTCAGGGAGGAAATATTTGATGTTTATTTGCTGGTTTGTCGGTAGCAGCTCCTGAAAAGCAAGTCTACCACACATCTGTTCGAGCAACTGTTGCCAACCAAGTTGATTTTGCCTCTGACAAAGACGACTCCTCAGCCAGGCCTCATTTCAAAGCCCTGTAGCGCCACCCTGAGGCCCCAGTGCTACCTGTACACGGACTGTTGAGGCCAGCAGGAGGCGCTCCAGTTGAACTTGTTTTCCCATCAGTCACTGCGTGGACGCACACTTCAGCTGCATTTATGAATCATTTGAACCCTCCTTTATTTATTTTGTGCATCTCGATGATGTTTTGTTCTGCTGGGCTGTTCTTTTGGTCCGGCTCTCAGACTAAAGGTCAGCTGTTACATCACATACATGTTTTTTTACAGGCTACTGACAAAAAAACAAACACTTTTAACCACATCCTCGCTGAAAACACAGAAATGCAGAACTTCAGCAGCACAGGAAGTTTCAGGGTTTTACTCAGAACCAGAAAAACTTTATTTTGAGACGTGAGGCAGAGCCTTCAGTTTTCAGGCCCCTCTTCTGTGGAACCAGCTTCCAGTTTGGATCAGGAGACAGACACTATCTCTACTTTCAATATCAGGCTTCAAACTTTCCTCTTTGCTAAAGCATATAGTTAGGGCTGGACCAGGTGACCCTGAATCCTCCCTTAGTTATGCTGCAATAGACGTAGGCTGCCGGGGATTCCCATGATGCACTGGGTGTTTCTTCTTCACTCTCTTAAACAAAGTCTATTTTAGTTTCATGATCTGTAATGAAATGATCTAAATCATTTATAAAACAAACTGACCTCTACACCTGATCTTAAAACCTATTTTGTCACATCTAAGTTGTGATTGGAACATGAGATGAAAATGCAAAGTTTTCTTTTCTTCACTGTAACTTGTGTTGTTGCAGGATGGGGTTAAAATCATATTTTCCTGGGTATGAGCTCCTGATCCCTCAGCTCCCAGTGTAGCGACTTCCACAGTCGCTAGAGGCCGGGGATGAAGCCTGCCTATTTGCCTGACGCGCTGTCAACTTTACGCAATAATGCGAGAGGTGGAATTGTTTGCTTGTTTATTAAAGTGCTTTGTGAGTTTACAGAGTAATGTCATCGGATCCCGATTCAGACTCTTACAACGTCACAGGCTCTAATATAACGAAGCGAAACATGTAGTGCAGCGGTCAACAAAAACTACGGCTACCCAGCCCTCCTCTCTGTCAAAATCAAAACCAGTAAATGACAGACTGACAACGCCCATTTATGTCACCGCTAGCACCCACGTGACTCCCATAACAACCAAACAAATAAAAACCCAGTGATCATCAAAATTCAATACATTTAATTATGGCTCCTACACACCAGCCCCTAATTATTAGGATCCCTTCTAATAATTACCCATAATTAACCAAGTAGGAGACATAAAACATGCAGAGAAAAGTCAAACATTTACTGTATTTCAATATTACCCGCAGGAATCCTATAGGTAATCTTAAAGTTATCTTTAAAGAAAAATGAGAGACATTTTATGTCCAAATACAATCAAAGTCTGATAATTGGACCCAGAAGTCTTTAACTGTGATCTGCCTCCAGCAGTAGACACAGTTTGGTAATAGGTCGATCCAGGCAACTAGTCTGAGTTTTAATCCGAACTTGACGAACGAATCCTCTTCGGTCAGGAAAAGTCTTTATCACACGTCCCATTGGCCAAGAGTTTCGAGGTGCCGAACTGTCCATGATGAGAACCAGATCTCCCACGATGAGGTTCCTTTTTACTCCAATCCATCGCTGACGTTCCTGTTGCTGTAGTAGGTATTCCTTCACCCATCTTTTCCAAAACAAGTCAGACATGTATTGGACTTGTTTCCATCTTCTGTGTGTGTACATATCAGTGGAATGGAATACTCCTGGTGGTAATATCGGTGAGGTCTTTAACAGAAGAAGATGATTAGGGGTCAAAGCTTCCAGGTCGTTAGGATCCATTGAGGCTTTGGTAATTGGGCGGCTGTTAATGATGGCTTCAACCTCACAAAGTACAGTATGAAGACCTTCTTCATCCAGGTTTTGTACTTTCATTATGGAATTAAGTACTTTGCGAACCAGTCTTATCAGTCGCTCCCAGGTTCCTCCGTGATGTGAACCTCCAGGTGGATTAAAGGTCCATTTAACTCCCTTTTGCAGAAAGACGTCATTGATTTTTACCTGGTTCCAATGTTCAATGGCAGTTCTAAGTTCACGTTCAGCACCTACAAAATTGGTTCCGTTGTCAGAACGCAGTTCTCGAACCTGACCTCTTCTTGCATTGAAACGTCTGAACGCATTAATGAAAGAGTCAGTATCCAGTGATGGAGCAACCTCAATGTGAACAGCACGGATAGCAAGGCAGGTGAATATAACACCGTATCTCTTCACCACGCTCCTCCTACTTTTTACACTGAAGGGTCCGAAGTAATCCACTCCCACCCGCGTGAATGGAGGTTCATCTGGAATGATTCTTTCATTGGGCAAATCCGCCATCTGTTGATTCACTGGTGGAGCATTAAGACGTCGACAGATGACACATTTAGATAACACTTTTCTTATTGCTGTACTAGCTCCAATCAACCAGTACTTTTCTCTTAGCTTAGACAGCATGTGGTTACGACCACCATGTCCAACTTCCTGATGTATGTGTCTAAGCAAGAGCTCGGAAATGTGTTGATCCTTTGCTAGTATTATGGGATGTTTCACCTCAACCGGCATCAATGATCTACTGAGTCTCCCACCCACTCTGAGAATTCCATCTTGCAGCTGTGGGCAGAGTCTTCTTAGAGGACTTGATTTTATAATGGGTTGTCCCTTCTCCAGACTCACAAGCTCCAAGGAAAATCTCCTCCTCTGACAGAACTTGATAATGACAACCTCAGCTTTGTCCAGTTCTTCCACTGTAAGATTCTTAATCACAGATGTCCTCTTAAAGTTCCTCAGCTTTTCTTCCACAAATGATTTCTGTTGCTCTTTGGTGACCTCTGACTGTGGTAAACTTGAACACAATTCTCTCCTTTTCTTCACAAAGGACAGAAGCAAGTCCTTAAATTTTAACAGCCATGCCACTGACTTCTTAAGACGTGTCCAGGTGGAAAAATGTTTAAACAAGCGAGTAACAGAATTTTCTCCAGCTTGCTCAACACTCACTGTGGCAACTGTTTTTACCTCAGGATCATCAGATGCAAGCAGACTGATGTCATCTGGGTAGACAGGCCATTCACTTCTAGATTGTAGAAGATACTGAGGCCCAGACAACCATTTTGTATTCTTCATAAAAACATCGACTTTCACTCCTCTTGAGGCCATATCTGCTGGATTACTGGCAGTGTCCACATATCTCCATTGCGAGGAAGATGAAACTCTTAAGATTTGTGAAACTCTGTTGGCCACAAAAACCTTGAATCTTGAAGTTTCACTCCTGATGTATTTAAGAACAGAAGCACTGTCTGTCCAAAACACAGAATCCAGAAGTTCCATCTGCAGCTCTTTCCTCCAGAGTACATCCAATCGACTGGCCATGGTTGCTGCAATGAGCTCCATCCTCGGGATGGTAAAGGATTTAAGAGGAGCGACACGAGCTTTTCCCATAACAAACGCACAGTGTCGTTCTGAGCCAATGTTTTCAATCAGCAGATAGGTCACTGTTCCATATCCATCCTCACTGGCATCACAGAAATGGTGCAACTGAGCACTCGTGATTTCTCCAAATCCATCAGGTTTCAAACAACGACTCACTTCAAACTTGCTCAATAGCTGGAGCTGCTGGAGCCATGTTAACCACCTTTTGGAAAACAGCTCTGGTACATTATCGTCCCAGCCGATTCCTTCCTGGCATAGATCTCTTAGGATTTTCTTAGCAGTTAAGACCACAGGACTTAGAATTCCAAGAGGATCATAGATAGAACTGACAATTGAAAGGATTCCTCTTCTGGTGAGCGGTCTGATCCTTGAGCACAATCTTGAACTTAAAAGAGTCTGATTTTATCACCACTCCACGCCCAAAACTCGCTCGATCATTGAGGAATCCAATTCCATGTTCAACTCTTTCATTCCTGTGGCTCTATGACTTTCAGGAATTGATTCCAGCACTGCAGGCTTGTTGGTGATCCACTTTTTGAGCAAAAATCCTCCTTTGGCACACAAAGAAACCAACTCGTGGTACATTAACACTGCTTCCTCATCAGTTTCAACGGACACAAGACAATCGTCCACATAAAAACAGTGCAACAACTTCTTCACAGCTTCCTCACTGTAGAGATGTCCAAAGTCATCCGCACACTTTCTGAGTGCAAACTTGGCACAACTTGGTGACGAAGTTGCCCCGAAGAGATGTACATTCATCCTGTATTCAGATGTTGGTTGTTCCAGATCACCTTTAGGCCACCAGAGAAATCTCAATAGATCTTTATCTTCAGCTGGAACCATGACTTGATGGAACATGGATTCAATATCTCCCATAATTACAACTGGCTCCTTCCTGAATCTTGTGATCACTCCTATTAAAGAGCTTGTAAGATCAGGTCCTTGTAAGAGTTGGGAGTTTAAAGATGTTCCCTGATAACTCACTCCACAGTCAAACACAACTCTGAGTTTCTTCTTGGTCGGATGGTAAACACCATGGTGTGGTATATACCACAGCTTGCCATCATTGCGATTGATCTCCTCTTCCGGGACCTTTTCAGCATAACCTTTAGCCAGAAGCTC